TGTGTGTGTGTGTGTCTGTGTACCGTCAGATCAGATCTGACTGGTACAGGAGGAGATTGTCCCTCCTTTCCCAGCAGAGCATCTGGTGGATTCGAACCATGCGCCTCTGGGATTGCAGTGCAGCTTCTTGCCACTAGGCCACCAGATCTTCTGAACATCTTAACATCCACATGATCCGTTTGTCACCACTGATGCTCACACCTGGCTTCTGTGACCAAACAAAAGCCCATGTTTTCTTGCGATTTCCCTTGACTTTTCTCCTGCTTAGACTGGGATGCTGGGTTTAGGAGGGAGAGGTCATGGGGTCAGAGTGTGTCCTCCTCATATCAAGGATGCCGGCTGTCACCTGACATGTCACATGGCTTACCCGCGAGGGTGCTTGTCCCCCCAGCTCCGTACTGTTTTCTTGGTCCCAGCAGAGGGGAGGGAGCGTTCAGGTTGATGAGGGAGGTGGTGCCCAGGTGTCAAGTTCTTAGGAGTTCAAGGTCTCTGGGAGTTCTTCTGCGGGACTGAGCTCCCGTTTTCAGTCCTGACATTCCAGTGGATGCAGGGATGGCCTGTGCTTCCCGTCTTGATCCCATACTGTTGTTGCTCAGGGTCTGTTTTCCCATCCCCACTGCCCGTTCCCACACATCTAGTTTCTCTGACCCCTCATGTGCTCATCTTTGTTCGAAAACACCTACTGAACGGTTTTGTTTTCTGTAAAGGGAGCGCAGCACTCATACGTGACGGCTTCATTTTATGAGCCAGGCTGTTGTTGAGCTGGAACTTGACCGAGGTAGTTTAGGTGTAAGGTTTAAAGCGTATCTTGGGGCAGCATTCTCACGAGCTGTCCAGTCTCAGCTGCAGGAGCAGGACTGGCTTAAAAACTGCCCTTTGTGGCAAACATTGTTTCCACACCTGTATCCCTCCCTCCGCCCTCACCCCCTCTGCCCTCACCCATTGCTTCTGGGCGTGATGGGATGTGGCCCTTCCCGCCTGTGCTGTCACATCACACCTGCCATGTCTGTGAAACTTGGCAGGGGCTCGGGGTGCCCAGTGGGCTCCTCCAATGCAGATGCACCAAGTGTTTGCGTCAGAACCTCAGCCACATTCCGGTCTGTGCCGGGTCTCTGCTTAGGCTGCATCCGGCATCTTAGCCTTGCCTTGTGCCGCGTACAGCTGAAGACACAGCCTTTCCACACTCTCTTCCGCAGTATATCACCCAACTGGCTGGCGCCCTGTGTTACTGCCATTCCAAGAATGTGATCCACAGAGACATTAAACCGGAGAACTTGTTGCTTAGCTCCACTGGAGAGCTGAAGATCGCCGATTTTGGGTGGTCAGTCCATGCCCCGTCCTCTAGGTGAGTGCCCGGGACCAAGGTGATGGGCACGGCAGGAGCCCCTGGGCAACTGAGAGCCTGGGATCTTGGTTGAATTACAGGCCCACTTGTTTGAGTGCGCTTCTGATAGTGAGGTATTCGCAGGCTGAAGGGTTCTGGCAACCCTGTCCCTAGCAGGTCTGTTTGCCCCGTGTCCCCGATAGCCAGCCTTGGTTTGTCTGGTGCCATGTTTTGGTAATGTTTACGAGACTTAATCCTTTTCCATGTTGCTACTGCACACCTCACAGACCACACCCGAGTGCAGGTGTACCTGTGGGTGCCCTGAGAAACAAGCAGAAGCCTTGCTGTCTTGTGGCGATGTTTGCTGTGCTGTAGTGGCCTGGGACTGACCCCACACAGTCGCTGAGGTCTGCATGCACTTCAGTGTCACCTGTGCCCTTAGCTCTTCTCCTCGGGGCTCACGTCCCCACACAGCTGCTCTGTGGTGAGCGAGTCTCCTGGTCAGCTTTGTCCTGCAGTTGTTCTGGGCACGTTGACAGTTCCAGCCTTGGGGACAAAGACACCTCAGTCATGACATTGGTGACGGAGGGAGGCACTGTGTGCTGCTCCCTGAGGAGGAAGATGGGGTGACCCTGCTGAAGGCAGAAGCGCACAAGCTGGAGAGCCGCGAGTCCGTTCTTTCTGGAAATGAAGAACTGGTGTGCCTGGAGCCGAGTTGGTGGTATTGCACATTCTCGGCCTGCCTTTCTCGCTAAAAGAAGGCTTTTCAACTTGTATTGTCAGTTAGTGAAAGTTTACAGAACACATGAGTTTCTCATTTGCTATTTTATACACATTCTGTTTCACGGCATTGATTGAAATCCCTGACAGCACTCATTCCTCCCCCTCCCTGTGTCTCCCCTTTCCACTTCTCCACGGCCCTTCTGATCTCTGTCCCTGGACAGACGCTACCTTTTCTATAGAAAGTGACTGATTGGTGTATGGACTGTGTACCTCCCTGGTAGTGGGGTCCACCTTAAAGGCCTGTGCTTGGTTTGGCCAAAAGTTGAGTCACAGGGTGCCCAAGGGCCACAGTCTTGTAGGTGCCCCCAGTCTCTATCCAACCAGTACACCTGGCCTTTTTTAATGATTGTGATTGTCCCCCACACTTTTCTCACTCTGTCTAGGATCTTCTAATCCCTTGTAGAACCGTCTGCCGTGGTAGCTGGGTCCTTGCAGCATTTACCACTGGGGCTGAGTGCTGTGGGGCAGGTTCGCTCCTCTCTCCAGCCTCCACCACTTCATCTCTTCACAGCAGTCTCGACTTCTCTGCTGGGTTTAGTAACTCGAGGCAGTGGTCACACAGAGCTCACAGACCACACGCATGGTTAGGATACATTTTAGTTCTCTAGTGCTGTTTTAAACCCACAAGTGGGTGGGTTTGACAGACAGAAATTTATTTGGGAGGCTGGTGACCCAGGTTCTGGGTCCAGACTCTGCGGGAAGGCTCCTTTTCGCTGTTGCTTCTGCAGGAGGCCTTGTTTCTTCCCTCGGCCTCTGTAACCCAGCACTCCTTGAAGTACTCCACATGGCTTGGCTTTTCCTGTTTCTGGAAGGTTCACAGTGCAGGGGCCTGGGTCCAAAGGATGTGTTCTGCTCCACTCTCTTCTTTTTTGGTGGGACCAAGGTCCTCCCTTTTTTTTGGTTTCTCTTCTGTGTCTTGTAGGTGACGTGGGCATCTGCGTGGACACCTCTTAGATCAGAGCCCTGACCTCAGCCGTGTTGTAGCTTTTCCTAATCTTACAGCTGACTGGCTCATGACATCCCTGCCACACCATGAGGGAGGGCTACATCGTTCCATGATCCTGTAATCCGTCTCATTAACACCATAGATATTAAGATTTACAAGACACAGGGTAACTACGTAAAACTCAGAATTGTGGCCTAATCAAGTAAACACACAGTGTTAGGGGTCACAGTTCGTCCATGAGGGGAAGGAGGGTCATTAGGGAACGAACACTACAGTTCAGGATCAGGATGCTCTGGCCTCCCTTAAGGACAGCCTCTGCTTAGCCACCCTCAGGGGACCCCGCTGGCCCTTCAGCCCCCTGACCTCTGCCCTGCTTGGGAGTCCAGTGTCCCCTTACTTGACGAGTCCTCAGTCTTCTGGTAGGAGTGACAGACCATGGCTGGAAAGGTCTCCAAGCTGTGGCCCTTTCTACCTGGAGGACAACAGCCTACTCCCTGTATCACTCCCCCCGTCAAAGTGTCATTTCACAGCCCTTCGACTTGGGCGTGCTCTCCCACCCTCCTTGGGGTTGTCCCTTCGGCCTGCACCTCACGAGGTGTCTGCAGAACCCTGAAGGGAGTTGGATCTGGCCACTGTCCATCCAGCCAGGCTTTCCGCTGAGCCCACTCTTCACGCTGCAGCCTCCGCTTGAGCATTTTTACAGTCGCAGTTAACCGTACGATCTGAATCAGAGATTCCCGTCAGCATTGCCCCCCCCACCCCCAGATCCAGCAAGGAGAGTCTGTTTGGGGAGAAGGTGGGGTCCTCCTTCCCTCATTTTGAGTCTGAAACTCCCACAGAACCGCATAAACCAGCGACTCCCTCCCTTATCTCCCCCCATTTGAGAGTGCCAGTGTTTATATTGCCCGCCATCCCAAACCAAAGACTTTGGGGCATAGTGCAGGGTTAAAGTTTAGGTTATTCCAGGGCAGTGGTTGGACGGAGGAGAACATTCAATTTTAATGGCTCTGAAAAGTCTGTCTGGATTCCACAAGAATTTTTTTATTTTTAAATTTTTTTAGTTTGTGTGTGTACCTACCTTCAAGTCAGATCTGACTGATACAGGATTGTCCCTCCTTCTCCAGCAAAACATCTGGTGGATTCAAACCACATACTCCTGGGATTGCAATGCAGCTTCTTGCCCACTAGGCTACCAGGGCTCCTTAAGAATTTTAAAACCAGTCTTGCGTTTTCTCCTCCTTTTGATCAGTGTCCTGAGATGGGGATTATGATAGTAACACTTCCTGGCACAGGGTCTGACTTAGAAGGGGATTAAAACCAAACCCCCTGCCACTGAGTTTATTCCAGCCAGTAGCCCCTCTGGAGGACAGATGAGAATGGCCCCAGAGGGTTTCCCAGCCTGTAGATGTTTATGGGGGACGGCTCCGGTCACCCTCCGCTGAGCCGTCCCCGGCACCCCTCCCCGCTTGCTAGGAGAACCACGCTGTGTGGCACCCTGGACTACCTGCCCCCTGAGATGATCGAGGGCCGCATGCATGACGAGAAGGTGGACCTCTGGAGCCTTGGGGTCCTCTGCTATGAGTTCTTGGTGGGGAAGCCCCCCTTCGAGACCAACACATACCAGGAAACCTACAACAGAATCTCACGGGTAAGGCAGCGTCTCCTCCGGAATTCTCCCCCGTACGCCTCCAGTCTGCGCCGGGAGGATCCGGTGACTCTCCTTTCTCGCTCCAGGTTGAGTTTACGTATCCTGACTCGGTGACGATGGGGGCCCGCGACCTCATTTCACGACTACTGAGGCATAACCCAAGCCAGAGGCTGACCCTCCGAGAAGTCCTCGAGCACCCCTGGATCACAGCCAACTCCTCCAAGTCCCTCAGGCCCCAGGACAAAGAAGCCACCAGCACACAGTCTTAGGAATCGGGCAGCGGGGGCTTGGAGAAGGGCCGCCGGGTCTTCCTGGAGAAGGCTGCTGCCCCTCCAGCACCCACACTGACAGCCTCCCGGGAGTGTTTTTGTTCTTGGGGCCCCACTCCTGAGGAACTCTACTTACTTCTATAAACATGAAGCCCGCCGATCTCACTGGTTCTGGGGCAGCTGCCCACAGCCCTGCGGTGAGTGGTTCTGGGTTGAGTCTGGTGGTGCCACCCAGGCCAAAGGCTCGGCCGCAGGAACGCTGTGGGTCACCCCGAGTGTGTGTATGTAACTTATTGGGTGGCCACGCCTGGCAAAGCTGTTGGAACGAACACTTGATCCTGTCTCGCACATTAAATAAAGACTTGGGCACAGCCAGCTGTCCTCCTTCAGCTCCGCCCTCGCTGGAAGGCCCGGTGCACCTGGCCCCACGTTACCTCTGGGTCACGGGCCCTGGAACCTCAGCGCTCAGATGTGGCGCCTGAACACTGACAGTGCGCCACCCCAACCCAGACCTCGTATCTCAAAATTGCTTTTAAATGTCAAAAGATCAAACTTACTTTAAAAATTAGCCACGGGAGGTGTGCACATTTCAGAAATGCGTCAATAAATGTGTCAATGTCTCAGGGCCTCGCGGTTCTGCCATCTCGCTGTCAGCCCTGACTGCGCAGGTGCTGAGGGCCCCCCTTCTGTCTCTGTCGGTCAGCTGGCTCCCCTCAAGGTGACAGACTGGTCGGTCTTGACAGAGCACCAGCCTCGTGTTCATCAGCTGAAGGGCAGGGTGACCTTACCAGCAAGGAGGGAAAACCGTGAACTGTTGAAGGAAAAGCTCTTAGAACGCAGGCCGCTTCCGTGACTGGGGGCTTGGTTTTCACCATCGTAATAGCAGTGACGCAATGAAGCAAGTCGCACAGATTTTCCTCCTGGGGGGAAGGATGGTAGAACTTCATCCCACGTCCTTTGGGCACGTCGTTAAGAGGGGCCAGTCCGTGGAAAAGGCATGCTGGGAAAGGGGTCCGGTCAGTGAGAGAGGAAGACTTGGCTCCGTGACGAATAAAGGGCCTGGGTGGAGCAGAGAGGATGAGGATGGTGCAGGAGAGAGCAGCATACAGGTCTGCTGTTGACAGTACCTACCAGTAATTAATACAAGTTCTGTTTATGCCCCACTGTTGTCTTTTAAAGGGCTCTGGTGGCGAAGCAGGTTAAGCACTGGGCCGCTCACGGAACAGCGATTCAGAACCACCAGTCGCTCTGTGGGAGGAAGATGCAGCTGTTTCCATGTTTACCGAGGTGGAAACTGAGGCATTTCCAGTCCAGTAGTGTGGCCCCTGTCGGCATCAACGAGATGGTGGGTTTTGCTTTGAGCAGCCTGTACCGTCCAGTCAGAACCGACTCCTGCCACCCGCCCCCTGGGTTGTAGCCCCCTGGGTTGTAGGCGGCAGTAAATCGCATGAGTAGAGTACCCGTATTTCTCTTCTGAGGCAGCAGGTGGATTTGAACCACCCGCCTTGGGGTTAGTGCGACTACTCAGGGGGTCACCTGAATCCCTTAAGGGTGCGATAACATGATGAAAAAGCTTGAAGTATTTGAGAACAGAATGTGATGGACACGAGTTGAACACCTGCTGTTGGAAAAATGGTGCTGATGGGCCCGGCCAGTACAAGGTGGCCGCAGCCCCCATCTGTAAAAATGCCCCGTGTACGGAGTGTAGCCAAACCAGGTGTCCTTGCACTGAGGTTTTACAGCCACGTGACTGCGTGTCATACGTGTCTGAACAGGAAAGTGGCCAGTGTGCGAGTCTCCACGTGGGGTCACTGAGGAACCCCGGCAATGTGGCCGATGGGCCTGGGCTAAGCGGCAGTGTTCTCAGTCACAGCACATGGCTGTGATATAACGGGGGCGGTGCATTGATCCCCCAGGATCTGATCAGCAGCTGATGAGTATTAAGGGTTGCATGCAACCTCAAATTCTAGCCCTGAGGGAGCTCTGGTGGCCTAGTGGAAAGAAACTGCACTGCAATCCCAGAGGTGTGTGGTTCGAATCCACCAGATGCTCTGCTGGAGAACGAGGGACAATGTCCTGTACCAGTCAGATCTGGTTTGACGGTACACACACAAAAAAAAAGGGAAAAGAAAATTATAGCCCTGGTGGATCTAAGGGGGGAGCTTGAGGGTGTGGCCTGTGACCTAGCAGAGATGGGGACCCAATACTAACAAGGAAGGGTGCCAGGTGTACCCTGTGAACACTAGAAGGCTCCGTGATGCAGGGGACAGCCAGGGTACCTGGACATTGCCAAGGAACACCAGGCCTACAGATGCCGAGAAACAAGGCTCTCCTCCAGAACCACAGAGCACCTCCTGCTGCTCCCACCTTTCCTGAACTTGGCCTCCCAGGCTCCTGAAGAATCAATCTGTTAAAGCCATCCACTTGTGGGATCTGCTGTGACAGCACTGGATGAATGAATGACATCCTCTCAGGACAGAAGGACATTAGAATTCTTGAGCACAGCCAGCATCTCCAGGCCCCAGGCAGTTAGGTGTCATGTGGCTCTAGTCAGGTGATGAGGCCCCCCCCCAAGACAATCCCACTCGACTCATGCTCAGTTACAGCCATGCTTCGACAGTCATGTCACAGAGCTCAGCTCAAAAGAGGAATGAAAAACACACTTTGCAAAGGGCTTTTATTTGTTCCACAGGTTTGAAGCTGCTTGCTTTGTCAGTTTTTAAAAAGTGAAGCATGGCTTCCGTCCTTAATAGGTCACCTGGTGTCCTGGCTCCATTAAAAACCAGGCACGCACAAGCTTTCTGTCCTAGTGAGTTCTTGGAATGCTCTGGTCCCTGGTGCTGGTCCCTGTCACCTTCCCAGCTGCCCCAGTACTGAGCGCTGGCCTCAGAGGGACAGGGGCAGGCCACAGGGAAGAGAATTAGCTTTATTGCTTCTGTCTGGGTCCCTTCCTATTACTCCTAGAAATCAGGGTGTGGAGGGAGTCCCAGGATATAATTCTTCCTGACACAAGGGGGGAGTCTGGACATCAGTGCCAGGGGGGGTCTAGGGGCCTGATGTCCACAAATCAGACAAGATAGGGGTAAACAGCCCCAGCGCATGGACGGGCTTAGTGTCCACAGAACAGCTAGTTCAGGTGGGCAGTGTGCTAAGACTTGACTCCTGGAAGTCAGCCTCACCTCGGGCCAGTGAGCCTCCAGGCAATGGGCCAAGGCTGCTTTAGGAGAAAATGGTCCCCTGGCACGCGGAGAGCGTGTCCTATCAGATCCTTGTGAAGGTGGCGGAAGGAGGGATGCTGGTTGTGAAGGGCGATGGAGCCAGGCTCAGGAGGGCCCGCCGAGGGCATTTTCTTGTTTTATTTTTTTAAATGATCTGATTGTCACAAATGCAGTGAATGTGTCTCTGGAGTTAGGGAGCCACACCAGCCCCCTCCAGCACGGTGGCTGGGCAGGACGTGGACAACTGGGGTCTCCCAGAGTGTGGGGCAGCTCCCTGTGTGAGGGGGCAGTGGGCAGAGCGGCACACACGCCCACAGGAAGCACATCCTTCGAGTCCTGGATGGCTCTGAGAAAGCCTCCGTGGAGGCCGAGTGTGCCAGCTTGAATTCATCCAGAGTGCAGGAGAGGCCTCCCTGTGGGTGAAACCCGCTTCGGGTGTCGTTACCCCACCTGTCTCCTCCCTCCTGCTGACTTCCCAGGTGCCGTCCGGTTCTCTCGTCGTGCACTGACCCTCTGGGAGAGAGGGCTGCTCTGTGGGGTCTGCACGCCGTGAATCTACAGAAGCAACTGCCTCGCCCTCCTCCCTGGGACAGGCTGGTGGGCTTGAACTGCTGACCCCTCAGCTGGTGGTACAGTGAGCCCTAAACCACCGTGCCACGGGCGCTCCTCCCACTGCTAACAGGTGACACGAGTGTCCTGTTGAGGACATGGTACAAGTGATACAACTTTCTTTTTTAACATTTTAAAGTCAATCAAAAAAAATACAAGCAAGTCATGTAAAAACTGTCACGGCAGCCCTGGGACGTGTGGAGTTTGACGGCGAGGCTCGGGCAGGGCTTGTCTCAGCTCTTCACGGACACAGGACCGGTTCCCTGGGGATGTGGACATCAGGACCAAGTGGTGGTGACCCTGCAGGACAGAGCAGAACTGCCCCGGGGCGCCCCTTCTCATGGCCGCTGGTGGGTTTTAACCACCAGCCTTCACATTTCCAGCCTTTTAAGTTAGTGCTGAATTGGGGTGCCCACAGGGCTCCTTCCCCGTGGAGAAGAGTTCCGGCTGGGCTGAAAACGAATGGCCCCACCTGACTGCATGAACTCTCGGAAGAGCCCCCAGAGGTGGGGCCTGTGGTGTCGGATCAGAAGGCGTTTGTTTAGGAGCCTGTGAAATGCTGGGCTGGCTTTTCCCCAAACAAGGGCCACCCAAGTAGGGGCACAGTGTATGTGGGAGCGAGCTGGAATCCCGGGTGCACGCTGTTGGGGCTGTTAGCTGCAGCTCAGTCATCCGGGATGCTGCAGGCTGCCAGCAGACCCAGGAGAGGAGTGTCAGAAACAGGCATGACCAGCCACTGTCTTCTAGGACCATGACAGCCCACCCTGCCCGGCTCTGCACACCCTCACCAGGTGCCTTGCAGAAGGACCTGCTTGTTACGCTTTCTCCTGAAGTGCTGCTGACCGATTAGGTGTACAAGGCCCTGAAGAAGCACATTCACAAGATTCATAAAGCCCCAAATGGCAACTATTCAGAAAGGGGAATTTTGCTGCAAGAGGTAAAACATATGCACAGGAACCTAGCACTTAGCCCCTGCCCCCCCCATGAAAGCCCTAAACCCAGCCTGGTGTGTAGGGTCTGTTAAGAACCGGGGCCTCGGCGTCCATCAGGGCTTTGTAGGCGGTGGTTTGAAAAGGCCCACTCTGCGCAAATATCTGACGATCAGGGGCACGGAAATCAGGGTGATGCTAATCCTCACGGGCGCGAACAGCTTGTGAATCGCGTAGGCCACCACGAAGGTGCTGGTGCCCGCTGCCATCCTCGACTGCAGCAGCGACTCCTGAAACCCGAGCTTGAGCAGGAGGGCGGACATGTCCACGCCACTGGGGAGAGAGGCAGAGGTGGGGTCATTCCGGCAAGGGCCACCCCGATGGCGCACGCTTTCAAAGGTTCACTTGTCATTCGCTAGATTAGAAATGTGATCCAAGTAGCTAAGGGAATAAGGCTTTGTGTGTAGTTTTTATTCACATTGCACTTTATGTGACAATGAACCCCCAGTATTTATTTCCTGCTGTTGTTGAGTACTGTCAAGTAGAAACAGACTCCTAGCAGGTTTTTATAGGCAGTGAATTTCATGGGGGGAGACTGCCCATCTTTCTCCAAGGAGCAGCTAGTGGATTCGAACTGCCTGTCTTTGGGTTGGCTATACAACTCGTTAGCCGAGCAGGCCACTAAAGCTCCCTTTGTTAATACTTTTAATCACTGACTTTTGTTCTGGAGGACACACACCGCAGAGCACACACCAGCTGGGTGTCCTCCAGGTGCGTTCAGAGGCACAGGTCTGGTGCTGCGTATTCTCAAGCCCCTTTCGGGTCTGTTCCTTCACCTGTTCCTGACCTGAGGTCACCTGACTGCCCCCGAAGCATCCTCTCTAAGCTGCGCTGCAGTGTTTACACTCTGGGAGTGTGAAAGATCAACCTGGTCCCCTGAACAGGCACACCTTGCTCTCGGGCAGCCCACGCAGATCTGACGCAGATCTGAAGCTGTTTACAAGTTGAGGGTTTGTGGCAAGGCAATCAGAGGCAGTTTTTAAAGGCCAAGTGCTCACTTGCAGTCTTCTGGTTACATTTCATTAACTCTCTGAAGATCTCAAACTTGGTGAGGACAGTGCTCCTGCCCACTTCCTAGACCGCAGCATAAAGATAACTTCCACATGCGTTTGCACGCAGCTGTCATTGAGACAGAGCCGACTCATCGCTGACCCTCCCGCAGGTTTTCAGAGGCTGTAAATCACACCGGGGAGGCTGGCTGGCCATCCTTGTCTTAAGGAGCTAGTGCCCGAGAGGCACCACCTCTGGGTTCGCCGAGGGCAGCACACGGCCCACTGCCTGCGCCGCCACAGCCCCCTCCCACGTGCACTGGGAGGTGACAGCATTGGGTGGTCTACGCTGAACCTTCAGGATCTCAGGTGTGCCAGGACTGTTAACTCCAAAGATCATTATGCTCCAGGGACACCTTTACTAATTAAGCTAACCTGCTGAAAACAAACAGAAAACCGGTGTGTACCACTGTTCCGATTCTCACCTTGAGACGACCGCGTAAAAGCAGCCCAGGGAGACCAAGGAGACGGTGATGTGCAGGGACACGCCCACGGCCCCGTATTCCTGGAAAATCTTCTTCAGCTGCTGGGACTTGCTTAGATTTTTGTTCTCTGTGCCGCCGCTGACCTTGTCACTGGCTGCCGCCTGCGTGAGTTTGCCGGGGTCCTGCACACAAGCCAGGAAGGGGAGACAGTGGGGCAGGGGCCAGGACCGGGTCCTGAACACCACCAGTGTTGACGGTCATACAGCAGCGCCCCTGCTGCCCGATCCAAGGAGGGGCTGGCTGCGGCTCTCCTGCTGGGAGAGGGGACGCGTGTGGACACAGGCCGGAGCTGGGCACCAGATCCTGCAGAGCTACACAGTGGACAGCGGGGTCTGTCCCCCAGACGAGCAGCTGCTCCTCCTGGAACCTGTGGACGTGGCTACCACCTTACATGGCAGCCGTGGTCAAGGACCTCGAGGTAGAGAGCTTCCTGGACTGACCTGGGGTCCTCCGGCCATCAAGTCAGCGCCAGCTCAAACCTCACAGCAGCCGCTGTCCTGTCAGCTGACCCATCGTGACCCATTGTGAGTCAGTGGTTTCAGTGGTGGGATTTCTGGACAGTAGGTTTGCCAGGCATTTCTTCCAGGACCCCCTGGCCAGGCCTGAGCCTCCAACCTTGCACTTGGCAGCCAAGCACACTAACCCTTTGCGTCATGCAGGGACACAGACCATAGAGCCGAACTCACTGTCTCTCTGACAGCTCTGACTCACGGGGTCAGGTTTCCAAGACTGTAAATTTTTATGGGAGGGGCTTTCTCGTTCCTCGTGACTAGAATGGCTGACCTCGCGGTTAGCCTCACAGCTTGGACATGTTCGGCCACCACCGCTCCTGTACCTAGGAGACATATCTACCGTTTCGGTGGTTGTTACGTGCTGTTGGGTCTGAACATAGCTGACTGTCCAAGATTTCAGACGCCGTAAATCACACGGAGGAGACTGCCCATCTTTCTCCCATGAAGCAGCTAACTGGTGGATTTGAACTACATAACTTTGGGTTGGCAGCACAATTCTTAACACTAGGCCACCAGAGCTCCCTTATCTACCATATATTGTTGTTGGATTGCCTTCGAGTCGAACACGACTCATACTGACCCTATGAACAAAAGGCCTTAAGACCCTCTACAACTATCGACATTTATAAAAATTTATAGTTTCCAGAGGCAAGTTGTTTAGGAAGTAGATGCCACTCCTGCTTCCAAATTTCATAGAATGTGTTATTGGTTGAGTCGCCTGTGATGTATAGCGACCGCATGTACAGCAGCTCTGAATCCTTCTCTGTCCTGAGCCAGTCTCACTAATTCTGACACACCAATCCCTATCGCCCCAGTTATTGTATCAATCCATCTCATCCGGGGTCTCCCTCTCCTGTCCGTCCATCCACCCTTCTGAGCACGATGTCCTTCTCTGAGGACTGATCCCTCCTGGCCACGTGCCCAAAGGAAGGGAGGCGGAGCTTCAAAATCTGAGCGGCACTCACACACATACAGCGTCGGAACGTCGGAAACCCACAGACCCACACAAGACGGGATCTGAGGGCTCTAATCTCCTTGATCAGGTAACACCTTCCTCCCAGAAGGGAGCCACAGCATCAGAGCCAGAACAGGCCTGTCCGGACCTTGGAACGATCACTTTGTGTCAGCAATGTAAACACAGACAGTGGGTCACAGAATTTAATCACAGAACTTAGCTGAAGCTCTGTGGCCAGGATCTTCCCTCAGTGCGGCCTCAAGCAAAAAAAAAAAATCTCTCTCTGAAGTTGGTACATGGGATTTGGACTTACGTCCTCCTAAACAAGAGGTGGACAACAGCGTGAGAGACCAGTCGGAGTGTGTAGTGTAACCATCTACCATATAATTACTTCCAAAGCCAAGACTGACATACTCCTGAGACCTGAGCACGCAGTGAGGAAGCCCACTTGTGACAGTAACTTGGGGTCTGTATGAAAAGAATGTATTGTATGTGATGTCTGCTAATACTGAAAAACGATTTTATCATGTTTTCATCCAGTGCGGTAACGTCTGGTACCACTGCAGACCTCAGGACCTTGACTAGAAGGGGCAGGGCACGTCAGATGGATTACAAAGAAAAACCACCCCTTTCTCAATACATACGCACCACGTTTGTTTTCTCAGAAACGCATTTCAACTCTTGCCACAGCCCTTGGGACTCCTCTCCGACACCGCCTGTATCTGGGTCAGCTGGCCGAGCATATCCCCTGCAGCTGGACTGCTATTTTGGAGAGCCAGTCAAGGCTGAGTGAGCCCCCCTTCAGAGCCGGTGAGACGACTGGGACAGCACAGCCCCCAGCCTGCAGGGGAGGCCTCTCAGGGTGAAGAAGCAGAAACATGGGGCTCAGGGCCCAAGGCCAGCGCTGCCCACACCCCGCCCTTGTCTCCACCTCTCCTAGGTGGTCTGACCTGAAGGTAACACGCAGGTTACATGCAGGTAACAAATGCCTGCGGGGCTCTGCTGTGGCACTGGGGCCTGGGCCCTCAGCTTCTGATTTTCCAGCTTTATAGTGGGGCCTCAGAAAGCTCTGGTGGTGTATAGCTGCTAATGGAAAGGTTAATAGTTCGAATCTACCAGCTGCTCTGGGGGAGATTCCTATTATGATTCACAGCCTTAGAAACTAAGGGTTATCAAGAGACAGATCAACTTGATGACTGAGGGTAACCTGATGACAGACGGTTTGATAATCTCATAAGCTCTGGTGGCATCAAAAGGTTGGCAGTTCAAAACCCCCAGACGCTCTGCAGGGAGGATATAAAGTATGGTGCAGTTCTTGTCTGTCCTACAAGGGTCCATGTGAGTGGGAAGCGGCTTGATGGCTGGACCTGTGTTTGATTCTCTTGACAAGCAGAAATGCCTTTCTCAGGAAGCGAGGAGCCAGTTCATGAAAATGCAAATCATCAAAGAAGATACTGCACCTGACCTTCTGCTTCCCTGGGAGGGTGGGAGGCAGGCCTTCAAAGGAGGCCAATTCCCCGCTGGTAATACAGAAAAACATACCCCAGAGAGTGGGGTTCACTTCCAGACCTGCTATCAAGTGAACAGTGCAATACATCAAGCCACAGGAATTGCTGGTTTTCCAGCCTTACATTGTGCTGTAATCTATTTAAGGTCAGCAAAGCCACCGGTTTCCCCACAGCCTCAGAAAACCCGCAGAGGCGAGCGGGTGTCTGTTTTGTGGTTGTCTAGGAAGAGTGCCCACGGACTGTCAAAAGGAGGAGGACGTTTCTCTGGGAGGACGTGCGGCCACATGCGGTCAGGAGCCAGTCCTTGGAAAAAGGACAGGAGGGTCAGGGGAAGAGAGAATGGCCCTCAACAAGACAGACGGACCCAGTCACTGGACCCTGGGCTCAAGCATGTTAGAGACCCCAAAGCTGGGTGCAGGAGAGAGGAGGTGCAGGTCTGCTCAGAGGGTCTCTATGAGTTTAGTCCACCTGATGGTGATTAACGACAACATCAGGCGGGCAACAGCATTCTGAAAACCCGAGAATGACCCAAACGGCAGAGACACCAAGTGAGTGCGTGCTGTAGGAAAAATGGTGCCAAGGGATTTGCTTGGCACAGCTTTGCTCAAACATTTCATTTGTAAGAAGCCTGGCTTCAAAGCCAAGTGCAGTAAAGCGAGGTATTCCTGGCTGCCTTCAAAGCCAAGTGCAATATAGCGAGATATTCCTGGTTAGTTGTGTTCTCACTAGAATCTCATTTGAGAAAATTCCATCACCCCTGAAAGGGCACTGTGTCCCCAGCGGTCTGTTACCCCTCCACCCAGTCCCTAATCCACTGGCTGTCTCCACAGCTTTTCATATAAATGGAGAGACACAATATGTGGTCCCTTCGAAGCTCTTGCTATAAAGCTGACCTTGATTGGAATGAAGCACCCACCCAGGGGCAGGGTCCACTGTTAAGGTTGCTCTGGGGCACTGTCCCCCCTGGTGTCTGGGTGGGAAACGTCGAGCTGGTTTCATGCAGGCTGGGCCTGGGTAGAAGGGGGCCAGCAGTCGGGGTATGCTGAAGATAAAGCGACCACAGTGCCTGTGTGTGGGTGATAAAGGGTCAGGGAGGCAGGGTTCCTCTCTTCTCCCACCTCTGCCCTGAAAGGAGCTAACACCCAGGGAAGGTCCAACTTCAGCTCAAGGTGCAATGCACCATCTAAAACCAAACCCAGCACCGTGCAGTCCCGTCAACCCAGGTGACAGAGGAGAAGTGCCGTGTGGTTTCCAAGGCGGCGATCCTTACAGAGCCAGGCAGCCTTCTCTTCCTTCCATGTTGGGTTTCAAGAGTTGGCAGCCCAACGTTTCATTCACTGCATGGCAGGGCACAAGGGGGCTGGACCTCAGAGTCCTAGCTGCCTAGTGGAACGGACTCCTAGCTGACCCTCCAGGGGTCTGAGAGGCTTTAAGCCACACAGGAGACTGTCCACCTTTCTCCTGAGGAGTCATTACCAATTTGAGCTGTCAGGAAGGCACCACCTTCGGGCTGGCAGGGCAATATCCTAGGTACTATGCCTAATGGACAGAAAGTGATACTACCAAGCCAAAAGTGGGTGCTTTTAATCAGGGTCCCTTAGGCCTGTTTTTGGTTTTGGTCAAACATTCTTCTAGGTGGTGTGGCACTGCGCTGTCGATTTGCTGTACAGAGGTAACTCGTGGTTTGCTGTGTTTAGTAAACACTGTGACACTGATGTGTCAAATGCAATAATGGTTCCCCACGGTGGACAGTGTTTGGTGGAGCTCCCCAATTAAAACAGGCTTGGAAGCAGGAGTGGCATCCACTTCCGAAACAGTGTGCCTCCAGAACTTCTATGAACTTGGAGAAATGAAGAAAGTTCATAGGGTCACTATGAGTCGCCTAGACTCAATGTACTTAACAACAACAATGAGGACATGAGGCGAGGAGGGTAGGATTCAGCCTGGGTTAAAATCTGCCCAGGAACATCTGGCGTCTTACCCATACACAACAGCTATCCCTCTGTCTCTTCCCTAGAAAAAGCCTTTCTTTTCCCAACTTCTTCCTTTTGCCTGGCACCTAACCTAAGGCTGGTGGTTCGAACCCCTCCAGAGGTACCATGGAAGAAAGGGCCTGGGCAATCTGCTCCTGCCAAGATCACAGCTGAGAAAACGTGCAGAGTGGGCAGTTCTGCTTGGGAGCTAAGGCACAAGGATGCCAGGAGTCAGAACTGAGTTGATGGCACCCAACAATGACAGGTCAAAAAGGATCTCTTGTTCCCAAACTCAGCCTCCCCTGTGCACAGCCTCCTCACTGCCCCCTCCAGCCTGAGGGCAACTGCAAGCCCCCTGCTTCTGGGGAAACCAGCCACCGATGAGAGGACGGCTGGGGGGGTACAGCAGGTGCCGAGAAGACTCACCATTCCACACCCAGGCCAACTCAGGTCGATGACTGGCCCTTTAATGCCCAAGGGCCCCTGCTCCTTTGAGGCTCTTTGCCACCATTAGACCACTCCCGCACTGTCTCACTCTTTCTCAGCGTGCTGGGGCACACTCACAGGCCATCAGACTCACAGTCTGGTGCCCATCACTTTCACATGCACTGGGAACCCCATAACATCTGCCTGGAATCACCCTGCTTTCTAATCCTACACAACAGCTGGGACTGGCCTGCCCTTCCTCTGGGCAGAATCTGTAGAAAACGCAGGCTCATCAGTGACCAGTGGCCCCTACCTTCCAGTGCTGGGCTACTGTCCGAGGTGGCATTCTGCCCTGTTCTGCCCGTTTGCTCAGTGGTGTGCTCTCTTTACCAGTCTTTTAGCTTCAAACAAAAACACAAAGGGCCCCAGGCTCCTGGAGACAGAATCCTGTAAGCGTGTGATAGGGACAGAGTCGCAGCTCCACCCAACAAGGACAGTTCCTCCGTCAGCCAGAGCATGATGGTTTGAAATGTGTCCCCCAAATACACGTGCAGGTTATGTAATGACCCCTCACGATCGGATAAATCAAGCAAGAGTTAAAGGATTAAGGGCAGAATGCAACACCCTTCATCTCACTGTGGCCCTGTGCCAAAGTAAGGGGAGTGTCTCTGGTGTGTGACCTTGAACACTTTTTATACCACAACAGATAAAAGGAGGGGGTGTGTGTGGTTCTTAGGACCACCAGACAGAAAAGCCAGGGTCAGAGTACAGCAGTCTTTGGATCCAGGCTCCTGGACCAGGAAACTAAGAGCCGTACACACAGAGACAAAGCTGTGCCTTGAGCCACCACCCTGAATTTGGGCTTCCAGTTGAAAGAATCCAGTTCTGCTTGTTAAACCACCCACCTGTGGTACCTCTATAATAGCCGCACTGGTGGCCTAGTGATAAGAACGCCAACCCAAAAGCATGTCGTTCAAATTCACCAGCTGCTTCTTGGGAGAAAGACGGGCAATCTCTGCTGTGCGATTTACAGACTCTGAAAACGCGCCAGGGGTCAGCTATGAGTTGATCCTGGATCGACAGACCACATACAACAGAGATACCTACTTCAGTCCCTTCTGACACTAATAATAAGAGCCTACAGAATTTTTGCTTCTAGACCCTGGATGAGATGGATTAACACAGTTACTGGGGAAATAGGGTGGTTGTGTCACAGGCAGGGGGATTGGCTCAGCATGGGGCTGGGTTCAGAGCTTCTGTGCAGTCATTATGTGTCAGGGCCTGGCTAACCAGCAAAGCAGGAGCAGCAACGCCTTGTAAAAACAGCAGGACCACCTATCTTGGCTTGACCATCTGTTCTGCAGAAAACAACTCCAGGAAGCAGTATGCTAATGAATAGGGAATGACCAAAGGCCTCAGGATTCTAGCAATGTGATACCTTCTTGTTTTCCAATAGATATCATAGGATATCCCGGAAGATGTCTTTGTTTTGTGTTGAGGTCTGGGAATGTTTCATCTACCAGTCAACATCTAGGACAGATAAGAGATAATGCAATTACCCCTGCACGCATGTTTCTAAGACGAGTATATATACTCTTGCCAAAATATTAAACTTGCTATTTGTCATCAGCAATTAGCCTCTCTGCATCTTCATTTCAACCTGGTGCCTCCTTTTGGCGGAATTCACCCGACATATTGGGGCTGGATCCCCGATAATTATGAGTCACAGTTGACTCAAAGGCACAAAACAACAACACAAATGGGGGAGGGCAGAGTGGAACCCTGTGCAATGATTTCTATTAAGCAGTGGTTAAGGGCTTGGCACCAGCAGCCAGGAAATTAAAAGGAGTATTGCAATGGGAAAGTCTGTTGTCAGGGACCTCGCCAAATTACTGAAGAGCAATGGTGTCACTCTAGAGACTAAGGTGCACCTGATACAGGACATGCATGGTCTTTGCAATCACTTGCTATGCGTCAAGAGATGTGGACAATGACTAAGGAGGACAGAAGAAAAATTGATATCTTTGAGCTTTGGTGTTGGAGAAGAGTATTGAGGGCACCATGGACTGCAAAGAAAACAAACAGATTCATCCTGGAGAGGGTTAAACCAGGCTGCTCCTTGGAGGCAAGGATTCTGAGGCTTCATCTGACATACTTTGGACATATTTCAAGGAGGGACTGGTCCTTAGAGAGGGACGTCATGCTTGGGAGGGTGGAGGCACAGCGCAGGAAGGGAAGACCCTCTATGAGGTGAATTGATTCAGTGACTGGGGTAATCAGGATGGGTGTGTCAGAGACAGTGAGATTGGCACAGGACAGGGCAGGCTTTAGGGATGTTGTACATAGGGTTGCTATGAGTTGCAAACGACTCGATGGCACATAACAACAGCAAAAACAACAATGACTTGGCTGCTAACCAAAAGGTCAGTGGTTTGTACCCACCAGTCCTTTCTAGAAGATAGAGGGAAGGAGACAAGTGGGTGTGCACTGCAGGAGCTTCTGAGCTTTAAGGTTAGCAGTGCAGGTGGACCACACCCCAGGAGCCCCTGTTAACCACAACTGGGGCCAACTTGGCTTGACTGGGTGCTGGGCACCTTACACGACCTCATTCCTATTCACCACCCTGTGAGCACCAATGACTGAAATCTCCCTTGACAGGTAAGGAGAACCCCCACATCGAAATTCACTCCCATCAGCTTCCATCTGAGCAGGCCAGACCTCTGCGGAAGGGTCTCAGAACCCCAACTCCTCCTGCAGGGCGGAGCAGGACTGCCCCAAGGGTTCCAGAGGCTGTAAATCTTCGTGGGCACAGAAACATGTTATCATGTTTCTTCCGCAGGGCGGCTGTGATTAGCTTTTTGATGGTAACACCATGGGGTGGCTCTGCACCCTGTCCTACAGGGTCGCCGCGCAATCCACTGGAAGGTAATGGGCTTCGCTTGGGTTTTTCTCCTGAAAGGTCTCATGGGGCAAGCACCACCTCGTCCCTTCTCCACGGGCAAGGCTAACTCTAACCCCAACCCTGTGCAGACCATCTGGACCATGGCTTTTGTTATTTTCCTTTAAAGAGATTCATGATAACACAAAACTGCACTTATTTTTAAAGGATGGCGTGCGTTGTCATTCTGCATGACCACCGGTTTCCACGTGCCCTTGCACTACATGCATTGCAGCCATGCAGCAGGACTGACGTCCTGTCCGAGGGTTAGGTCCAGGGAGTGTTAACGACGGATCGCCAGGCGGGGCGCTCCCAGACAACTGTGGGGGGAGGGGGCTGGAAAGTGGCTTCAAGACGGACAACACCAGGTCCACGTGAAGTTGTTTGGTCCAATCTGAGGCCCCGCCTACCGTCCAGCAGGCCTCCACCGCGGAAACCTGGGCCCCACCGCGCCCTCGGGCCGACCACCGCCCGCCCCAGCCTCAGTTTCTCCAGCTGTCAATGGGGGGAGGGTGTGGCGTAGCGAGCAGGACTTTGGTCTCTTGTAGGTGATCAGTCTCGAAGTTGCAGGTGCAAAGGTCTCCCCATGGCGGGCGCTGGCCTCTGACACTGCGCTGGGGACACCGCGATTGCACTTGGGATCAGGGAGCGGAGGGAGGGCTTACCTGGCGGCCGAGGCCGTCCCCGTGGGCCGCGCGCAGCAGCCGGGTGTCGGGCCCAGACCGGAGCAGGGGCAGGGTCAAGAGCGGCGGGGCGGAGGGCGAGGCGGCGCTCAGGAGCCAGACGGCGCGAGGCCGGACCCGGGCGCCCGCTCTGCCCATCGGGCCCAGCAGCGACAGCATCCCGGCCATGGCGAGCGGCGAACGGCGAGAGGGGGACGACGGGTGACTGGTGGCCAGCGGCGAGGCCCGAACGCGAGACCGCGGAGGGGGCGGGCCGGGCGCGCAGCGCTGACTCCGCCCACCGGCCTCCGGAGTCGCGCTGAGAGGGCGGGGCCGACGGCGCACGCACACACATTGACTCCCCCCCCCATCGCAGTCTTGACTCCACCCACCAGCCTCCGGAGTCGCTCTCAGAGCGAGAGGGCGGGGCCGGCGGCGCACGCACACACATTGACTCCGCCCACAAATCAACTTCTGAGGCCGCTCAGCGCCAAGGACGGCGGGGCGCAAACAGTCCTGGCTCCGCCCACCGGCCTCCAGCGCGGAGCTCAGAGCGAGTGGGCGGGGTCGGCGGCGCGCGTACTCTCCGTGACCCCGCCCACCGTAGTCATGGCTCCACCCATCGGGCGGGGCCGGCAACACGCGCCCCTGTCCCTGATCCCGCCCATCGCCTCCGCCCACCAGTGCTGAGCTCTGTGAGAGTGGGCGGAGCCGGAGATAGGTGCACTCTTCTTGGCTCCTCCCATCAGCCGGTCCTCCTGAGCCAGAGCTTAAGACCCAGTGGGTGAATCTGGAAACAGAATTCACCACGAGCCGGAGCCCGACGTGGAGTGGGCCATCTTACCCCACCCAGCACCGCTGTCCAACGCGCACCAGAGCGCAGCGGTGAGTGGGCGGGTCTGGAGGTGCGCGCTGCGCTTCTTCTCTTTGGTTCCACCCGTTGGTCCACCCCGCCTCTCCAATTGGAACGCAGGGCAGAGTGGGTAGATCCGAGTAGCTCCAATCCTGCTCCGCCCGCCGGCCTCGTCCATCCTGAACCCGAGTCCAATAGGAAGTGGGCGGAACTGGAGGCGCACACCTTTGACTCGGATCCGCCAGTTCCGTAATTCGGGGCAGAGTGGGCGGGTCCGGGGGGGAACGCACTCCCTCTTACTCCTCCCTCCGGCGCCGTCCAATCCGAGCTGGAACGCGGCGTCCAGTGGGCGGGACTGGAAGTGGCCGCGTCTTTCCCTTGGCCCCGCCCTTCCCCCGCCCCCACGAAGCCGGAGCCCAGCACGGAGTGGGCGGGTCTAGAGACGCGTGCACTCCCTGTGTCGTCACCTTCCTGGCGGTTCCGTGCCCAGGTAGCACAGGTGAGGTGGATACCTGCAGTCTCTGCCTTTCAGGGACAGAGTTGCAGTTTCTAGTTTGCAGTGACCAGTCTGTGGTTACCCGGCAGTGGGATGTGCCGTTCTCCGGGTACAAGAGTGGGAAAGCCTTTAACTTGGGAGTTTTTCCATCCTACAAAATGAATGAAAGCTGGAAAATTTAGATGTTTTCATGCTAGCCTCAAAAGGAGCAAATACGGGAGTTGAGATTAATACAGGTTTAGTTCAGAGTTCTCTCACGGATCCTTACCATTGCACCGATGCACTGACTTTGGAAAAGAAACTTTACAAAGTTAAATATCCATGGACTGCCACCAGGTCTTGGAGAAAATGCAACCACGGTGCTCCTTAGAGGTAAGGCTAGTGAAGCTGGGTCTCTCAGGTACATTGGGCTCTCTGTCAGGAGGGCCAGTCCTTGGAAAAAGAATCTTGCTTGGAAAGGTGGAGGGTGAGCGGAGGAGAAGACCCTCAACAAGAACGAGCCAGTTATGCCAGGTATGATGAAATTGGAGCAGAAAGGGCAAGGTTTAGAGCAATTGTTTCATGGGTCATTGTGACTTGTAGTTGCCTCGATGGCATCTAACAAGGCACTCTGGTGCCTCAGTGGTTAAGCATTAAGCTGTAATAAAAGTAAAAGTTTAGAACCGTGGGGGGGACTGTCATCAAGTCCTAGCGTCCCTGTAAGACACATAAAACTGCGCATAGGGTTTCTAAGGCTTGGGATCTTTTCAACCTCCTTTTTACCTAACAGTTGAGCATTTGAACTCTAGGACTCTAATTAATTTTCATTCTGTTGTACTAAATGTTCCAGATTTAGCTAGTTCTGCATGGTTCAATATTGGGAAGGGTGTGCGTCAAGGATGTGTCCTATCTCCTTATCTTTTCAATCTATATGCAGAACAGATTATCCAGGAGGCTGGGCTCCATGAAGAGAAGTGTGGCATCAGGGTTGGAGGAAGACTCATCAACAATCTGTGTTATGCAGATGACACAACTCTGCTTGCTGAAACTCAGGAGGACCTGAAGCACTTGCTGCAGAAGGTCAAGGACTGCAGCCCTCAATAAGGATTGCAGCTCAACATCAAGAAAACAAAGATTCTCTCCAATAGGCAGATTGGCAGCATCATGATAGATGATTAAGAGATTGAGATTGTTGACAGCTTTAGTTTGCCTGTTTCTACAATCAACATTCATGGTACCAGCAGCCAGAAAATTAAAAGATGAATTGCATTGGGAAAGTCTGCTGTCAGAGACCTCTCCAAAGTACTGAAGAGCAACGATATCAGTCTGGAAATTAAGGTGCACCTGATATAGGCCATGGTCTTTGCAATCACTTGCTATGCATCAAAGAGGTGGACAATGACTAGTGATGATAGAAGGAGAATTGATGCCTTTGAGCTGTGGTGCTGGAGAAGAGTATTGAATATACCATGGACTGCTAAGAGAACAAACAAGTTCATCCTTGAGAGGGTGAAACAGGCTGCTTCTTGGAGGCAAGGATTCTGAAGCTTTGTCTTACATACTTTGGATATGTTGCAAGGCAGGATCAGTCTTTGGAGAGGGACATCATGCTTGGGATGGTGGAGGGACAGTGCAGAAGAAGAAGACCCTTGATGAGATGGATTGATTCAGTCACTGGGGTAATGAGGATAGGTGGGTCAGAGACAATAAGATTGGCACAGGATAGAACAGTTTAGGGCATTGTACATAGGGTCACTATGTGTTGCAGGCAACTTGATGGCACATAACAACAACAACAATAACAATAACTTTTTAAAAATAATTATTTTTCTTAATTAAAATCTATAACACAATTTTATAATAAAACCATTCATGTCTCAGCACAAGAAAAGGTAGCTATGTCTGTAAATAGACACACACCTAAATTTTTTCTTTTCAATTTATAAAAACCCTAGATTATTCCTTACAAAATATAACTCATGAAAGGAAAACCTAAAAGTATTTGTTATATAAAAAGAAAAGTCAAAGTCAACTCCTTAGTGAAAATGCCTACAATTATATTTGGTTCTGAAATCTATAATTTCTTTAATTTTATAAAGCAGCTTAACTGAAAAGAATTTAAACTGTAACTGCCTCAATAAAATTCATTCCCTTTAAATACAAATGCAGCCCTTGTACAATGGTCTGATATAGCTATTAGGCTGCTGACTGAAAGGTGTGAAGTTTGAGTCTCCCCGCTGATATTTGAAATAAAGATGAGGGGATCTGTTGCCATTAAGCTTCTCATACTCTTCACGGTTGAGTTGGAAAGTGACTCTTAGCTGACCGTCTGGTGACTTTTTGGAGGCTATTAGTTGTACATGAGGAGAGGCTGGTGGATTCCAGCTTCCACAGGGGCACCAACTTGGGATTGTTTACAGTCCTGGACACCTGACTGATGTGTTCCTGCTTCCTGCCTCTGACAGCGCATCAGAAGCAGGTGTGAGGTGCAAAGCAAGGGGCTTACTATACATCAATGTATAGGAAACAGGGGATATGGACTCCCCAAGTCTACCTCCTACTCTGGAGCTGAGCAGAGCTTTTATAGGAGAGGGCCCAGGTTTGCAGCTTTGTCTGCCTGGGGTAGTCACATCCAGTCATGCTTACTAGCTCTTAAAAAATTTTTTAAAAAAAATTTTATTATTTTATGTGTGTGTACTGTCAAATCACATCTGACTGGTACTGGAGGAGATTGCCCTCCTTTTCCAGCAGAGCATCTCATGGATTCGATCCACATACCTTTGGGATTGCAGTGCAGCTTCTTGCCACTAGGGCTGACCAGCTCTTATTTTCATCTTGATGACACTAGACTCCCCCTTGTATGTCACAAGGTGGCTCTCATAGTTTTGCTTTAATGAGAGACAGGTTAAGGTTAATCTTGCTGTTACACAAAGTCTCAAAAGGAAGTCAACTTTAAACTTTTAATATTAGCTGCAGAAGCAAGCGTGAAATTAAACTTTCCTAGCAAGTGCTTCAGCTTAGAAGGTGGCTAAAGCTAGTGCAGTGCAGAAAAGAGCCTTTTTGCCCAGAACGCTCTCTGTTCTTACTCTCAGAGGCTGTAATGTAAGTGAGGGATTCCAGGAGTTAGAACAGACTTGATAGCAGTGGAGGTTTTGATGTTTATTTACAAAATAAATGAAATCCCCATAATTTGGAAGCAGGAGTGGCATCCACTTCTTTAACAACCTGCCTCTGGAAACTCTATGAACTTTGATAAATGACGATAGTTATAGAAATGCTTCAGACCTTTTGTTCATCGGGTAGTTAGGAGCTGTGCTCGACTCTACGGCAATCAACAACAACATTAAAACTAAGCCGTAAAAAAGGTGGATTTTTCTAGGCTGTCCTTTTTTGTGGGAAGGAGCCCTGATGGTGCAGTGGTTAAGCCCTTGGCTGCTACCTGCGACATCAGGTAACCAGAAGGTCAGCAGTTTGAATCCAGAGGCTTGTCTGTATGATTCTTGTCTGTAAAGATTTACATTCTTGGAAACCCCATGTACCAGCAGTTCTGTGTCCTGCAGAGTCCCAAGGAGTCACTTGGTTTTCTAAGTCTTCACCGACAGAGGAACCCTGGGGCACTATGGTTAAATGTCTGGGCCCTGACCAGAGAGTCGACCTTGGAGGAGGAAGGCGGATGGTCTCCTCCCAAAACGAGATAACAGCCTCAGAAGCCCAGTGGACTCTGTGGCAGTGGGTTGGATTGGATTTGGGGTTCATCTTTACAGAAACCGAGGTCACGACTCTCTCTTGCAGAGTTGCTGGTGTCAAGTTGAGTGTTTTAATCACTGTGCCACCAGAACCCCTTGTGATTACTCACCCAGC